ATGCCTCTCATTTGCAGAACGCATCAACAGAAAGAACAATTCCAAAGTTTAATTTGTTAGGGTCTGATCAGAAACATGTTTGGCATCGAACCAGGGAAATACTGAACAAGAAGTCACTGAATGGTGGAGATTTTTTCAAGGTTTGGAAGTTTTCTCCAGCAGGATTTGGGCCTCTTATTAATCTACATGGCAGAGTGAATGCAAATGTGTACCAGAAGCTCTTCTGCAACAATCAACCATCAACTACCATGGAGGACAATGATCTCTGTCACACAGCAAGATGAGCAAAGCGATTCTCAAACTGGATTCCTGGAGGCTGCACCTCTGCACAGTTTTGCTCCAACCTTAATCAAACACACCTGATCAACTAATCAAGGTGTTCAAGACTATTAGAGACTATTAAGCAGGTATGAGTTGGAGGTTGTTGTAGCTAAACTATGCAGACCTGTGGCCCTCCAGGAACTGAGTTTGAGTCCACTGCTTTAAGGTGAAAATGCTGAAATAATAAAAAGGCCAGCTCAAAGTCCTGATCTAAACCTTATTGAATTTTTTTTTTTTAAATGACGGTTAATAGACCCAGTACAGTCACTGAGCTGTGGAATAGCAGATCAAGATCACGACAGAGAACAGAGAGACTAGTGATGTGCTGTAAGAGACTTGTGATCTCCTGTGATAAACAATCTTCTACTAACATAGTATATCCACAACAAAAACTCCCTGAAGGTTTCTCGTCAGCTGTAATAATGTTTTTGGGTAACTCTTCTGAGTAGATATATAATATACACTAAAAGCAAAAATATATACTTTTTAATTTTTATAAAATGTTTTAACAATGTAGCCAGTGATTTAGCATTTATTAAAGACGTAAATTTTACAGCTTCAGAACTGATAAGGATTGTATAAATAGGCATACTTGTTTATTTATGGCAAAGGTTCTATCTCTATCTCTTTATCTATGTGGTTCTGTATGCGTATACTATAAAGCTTCATATAAACTGATAAGGATGACATTGGATGAGAACCTGCCAGCTGAGAACTTTCTGGAAACACCGGGCCAGCATATGAAAGGTCAAAGTGAAATAGCAAAACAATTTTGGCGATATAATCAATACAGAATGTCAAACACACAACATATGTGACTGAAAATACGCAGAAATTCCATACCATACACCTCCATAACATAGCCAAAACCCTTAAAGGTATACTTCACCATAAATTAAGAAACATATAAGAAACAAGAAACCAGAAAGAGCATGTTATTATGAAAATAATAAAAAAAACTCATTCACCTCCATTTACGTCCATTGTATTTTTGTCATATTATGGAGGTCAATGGAGCAATTAATTGGTTACTCAAGCCAAGTAGTGTAGATTTGTGCACTGTGTTCAGATCAACAACAAAAAATACCATAATTACAGGTAAAAAACAGGGTTCAAAACATTCTTCAAAATAGTTTATTTTGTGTTCAACCCACACAGGTTTGACAACTTGTGGGAAAGTAAATGATTAAAGAGAATTTTCCTCATGGGGTGAACTATCAATTTAATATAAAAGTAAAACAGGATGTGACATCATGGCCAGACAAGAGCCAGTCCTCTCTGAATGATATCAGTGATGTCATTTACTATTCAGTAGAAAAATGACGGGAATGCAAATAATGCTTGATAAAAGCCATTTTCCATAGAACAGAAGGTTCAAATTCCAGAGTATTGTGGGAAAACGAGGTGATGTACACAAAAACAAACACCCAGCGACTGACTTCTGATGCTGAGGGGACAAAAAAACAACAAGAAACAAGAAAGAAGTGCTTGTGTACATTCGGCAGGGGGTGTTTCGTGGTGATGGAGAGACTAGTGGTGGGATGTGGGGTGGTGTGAGAGGGGGGTCATGATGATAAGGGAAAAATTCAGACCGGTCAAAGTTTCCCTTTTGCCAATCGTGCTCCTGATAAAGGCAGTGCCTGCTCCAGTACTGATAGAAGGCCTATCTCTCTCCTGCTCCCCCCCTCGTTCTTTCTCTCCCTCTCCCGTCCTTTCTCTCCCTCTCTTCCTCATTCTCCTGCCGGTTAGTTTGGTGTGGGGGGGAAGAAGCCTATCGCGTTCACATCACCAGCGCTGTCATCAAGCGGCAACCGCACAGCAATTAATATCACTCCAATTACTGTTAAAAGGACAGACTGGAACAGGACGATAATAAACACATCCTTGACGTGAAAAATTAAAACACGCGCACACACATGGGAGACACACACATATTTGGGCGATTTCTAAATGTTGCAGATAAAGAAAATGCCTTGCATATTGAATCATGCCATACTCTACTAGATCCTCGCTATCACTATAAGCTGTACTGCTCAGCCGTGTGGTCCTGGGAGAAAAAGATGGAGAAAAATGATAGAAAAAGCAGCATTTTTTTATCCATGCTGATTAATATTAAAGATTCACAATCTGTTTTTACAGTTAGTACAGTGAACACACAAAATTTTTAAGATGTATACATGAATGGCTTCAGAGCAGGAATATAAAGCCCAAAAAACATCCTAGGGGTTATTGTATGCTCATTATGGTCTTCACCATGATGATTGTTGAGGGGAAACAACCAGGTAATCTATCCCCACTGAAAAACCTTTTTAAACTAGCCTCAGCTGGTCCTAAGTCTTTTTTCCCCACCAGCATTTTTCTAGTAGGTGCCAGAATGTTTAAATAATTTTCTAAACTTTTTAATCTTATGGAATTCGGGCAATGATTTGGTCAATGGGCAACCGAGTCAGAGAGAGGGCAGCCAATTCTTTAAAAGTTTAAATTTAAAAGTTGCCACCAAAGTTTTGTTGCCATCAACATTGCTCTGTGTATCATCACCTTATTGCTTGCAGAGTTGTTTTATTTTATTTTATTTTTTTACCTTTGTACGGTAAGTTGATTCAATAACATTCAGTTTTAAATTTGTTTGCTGTTCTGTTGAATGAGTTCTGTTGAATGAGTAATGAGTAACGAAAATCTTTATCACTTGATCCTGAGACGCTTCACTCTTTTAGAAGGACCATAACAGTGCCCCCTACTGAATAACTATAAAAACGTGAATTCCCTGAAACGCCTGTCAGTGATTGGAAAGCGTTGCATCATAAATGATGGAAAATCTTAAAAGAGCTGCTCTCAAACCCAAGATAGTCTTGGGCTTGTTTACTGGTCTGACCAGTCAAAAAAGAAGCCTCCAGACATCTAAATCCCGCAAAAGACCAGATAAGACTAGCATATCGACTTGAACTGTTCTGAAATATGTTCTGAGCAATGATTCTGCATCTGGACCCAGAGAGAACATGAACAAGTAGTAACCCAATAGAAGTTTATATAAAAAAAAACATAAATATACAGTTAAAGTCTAAATATTAGCCCTCCTGTGATTTTTTTCTTCTTTTTCAAAAATACCCCAAGTCATGTTTAACGGAGTTAGGGATTTATTTATAGTATTTCCTATATTTTTTTTCTTTAGGAGAAAGTATTATTCCAGCTAGAATAAAAGCACTTTTACATTTTTATACCATTTTAAGGTCAATATTATTAGCCCCCTTAAGCAATATTTTTTGCAATACATGCTGCCTAGTTTAGTGGTTCCCAAAGTGAGGGTCGGGACCCCCTGGGGGATCATGGGATAATGACGAGGGGCGCTTGGTTATTTCCAAAACTCAAATAAATATTATTAAACTAACAGAATTACCCTATTTTATTCATAGCACAAAGAAAATAGTTAATAGTTATATTAAAGAAACAACAACAAAAACATACAAATAAAAATCCACCAGCCTTGAATTTTTTTAAATAAAATTATAAAATGACTATAAAAAAAATTATACGGTTACTAGACTGTTGCATTTTTGTGTTGTCAGTATGCTCATGTTTATATATGCCTATAGTTGCGTGTGCAACATTTGTATATTTACAGTATAACTAACTTGAAAAATGGGGGTCGAGTGTCATTGACATTGTCATTTTGGAGGTTGTGGGCTGAAAAGTTTGGGAACCCCTGGCCTAGTTAACCTAATTGACCAAACCTTTAAACTTCATTTTAAGTTGAATATTAGTACCTTGAAATATTTCTAGTAAAATATAATGTACTGTTATAATGCGAAGATACAAGAAATCAGTTATTAGAAATGAGTTATTAAAACTATCATGTTTAGAAATGTGTTTCCATGTCAAACAAAAATAGTGTGGGGTTGGGCTAATTAAACAGTAGGGCTAATAATTCTGAATTCAACTGTTTATATATAGAAAGATAACATTCAATATGTATAATATAGAACTATATAATTACAACCATTATAAAAATTAATATATAAACATTTTTATGCCCAATCTTCTATAAATTCAACTTAATTATTACCCATGTATGGCAAGCATAACAATTAAAATTTACTCCTAATGTCCATGTTCTATTCGGTTGTCAGCTGCTTAGCACCTCAAATACTGTATTAACAATCAAGGGACCAACAGGTAAAAAGAAGCTAAGTACAATTTAATTTGCACTAGTTATCTTCCTACAAATCAGTCCCGTCTCTCACAGAGAATATTAGAGATGTTGTGCGTTCAATAAAAGTAAGTTTTCTATTTTCCGAGTCAACAGTCATGATAACTCTCTGATTTAACCCTGGAGGTAAAGCAATGTTTAATGAGGCTCGTTTGAAAGTTTATCTGAACTGGCTGAATTCTCAGACGTGATGCAAGTGTGATGTCACTGAACTGTGTTGAACCAGAAAAAGTGACTAATTGTTGGGAGCCATACAGAAGGCCAGCTCCACTGATGACTTACAGTACACTCTCCAAATTTACAGGCAGCTCAGATTGGATCATTTCTGTTTTGCGTGTGGAGCATGATAAAGTCGTGGCCTATATTGTTTCGTGGCCGCCCGGCTGACAGTATGACTACGACTGGCCCTTCCTGAGAATCCAGTGACTCATGGTTCAGTTAAACACCCCTGAAGGAGACATAGATAGAGACTGACCTGGGCCGTTCCACTGGGGTTCCCCTTCCCTGTCCACCTCTTCCTCCTCTTCATCTTCTGTGCAGCGCTTCAGTCCTTTCTCATCTTCATCGCCCTCGTCTGCCACTGCCAGAGACTCGTGCGTTCTTGGCTCTGTGGACAGCCAGAGTAAAAATTAAAAGTCAAGGTTTACAATGTTTATTTTGCAAGTGCACATTGTGTTATTTGTTCGGTGAACAAATAATCCGTGGAGGAAAAAAGTTTGTTTCAATCAAAGTCTGATCAGATGCCTCAGCATTTAGAGTGGCGGAATACTTCAGCCACATCAGTCTTAACCACGCCTCCTCTAACAGTTTGCTATGATTGAATGATCCCACCTCCTACTTAAAGGGCCATGAAACCCCCTCGTTTCAGCAGGGTGTTTTCACACCTCTACTTTCGAAAAAGTCAGAAAAGTGGGCGTGTCCAGCTCTGTTTAGGGGGAGTGTCGGAGGAACTAAAGTGGGATGGTGTGGGAGTGTCTATTTGTGCACGCGCGAGTTTCAGAGTCAAAATACACACACACACAGACAGGAGAAAGCGATGGTGTTTAACCTACATGGACATCTGTAGTCGAATTATTTGCTGAATTAATAAATGTTGGACTTTAACTGCAGTTTGGCTCTTTCATTCAGGGAATTCATTCATGCCCCTCGCGACAAACGAGATATTTGATTCGAGGAACTGCTGCAAGCGTGTATTTTTCATGCAATGTTTGATACCGCACAGCGAATGAGAGAAAAAAAACTCCGCATTTCCCGGAAACTTAGATGCACACGGCAGGTAGCGTCAGAAAGCCGCGTGTGTTATTCTGGTCACTAAATGCGGTGCTAACATTTCTGCACTAAGTGCTATAGTTAACTTAATTCGATATGAACAAACTGAATAAACAAAGAGCACTGGTCGCTCACTTACCAAATCTGTAGAGACAGGACAATCACCAGCAACTAGAGCCGCGTCTTTATGAAGAGAATACTACAAGCAAATCCAGATTTCAGCGTTTGCAGATGAGAACAGCTCTCAGGTAAACAATAATCCTCCTTAGACACGTAAGTTATTGTTGTCGAGCGTCGCGTACACTGTTAATCCACACGTGATCCAGATAAGCTCTCACAGAGAGAAAATGAAAACGAAACTTAACGGCAGCAAACTATAAAAGCAACACTTCACGCTTGTTTTGCCAACACAACGTGGCGTCTTTGTGGTGTAAACACGGTGACACAAATGAATATTAATGAAGTTGCACAATAGAGCGCGCTGATTGGTTTGAACCAAGCCTTACTCATGCATTAATGCATCACACTGTAAGACGTAATAAGACTCACTCAGGCACAGACGCCCAGTCTGCACGCTGGAATACAACGCTATTATGTCATGGCCGTGACGCAGCTTCAAAAATTCGTTTCAAACAGGAAGTACGAATTTGCTTGAAATAACGCAAAAACAACCAATTTACACTTTTTAGTGAAATATAGGTGTCCTAATAGTGTTTTTAGCAGTGTGGGACACATATACGACTGTCAACAGCTCAAAAAATGTGTTTTGGTGTTTCGTGACCCTTTAATATTCCAAGTACATCAACATTCATTCATTTTCTTTTCGGCTTAGTCCCTTTATTAATCCGGGGTCACCACAGCGGAATGAACCACCAACTTATCCAGCATATGCTTTACGCTTTATGCCCTTCCAGCTGCAACCCATCTCTAGGAAACATCCACACATACTCATTCACACACATACACTACGGAAAATTTAGCCGGCCCAATTCACCTGTACCGCATGTCTTTAGACTGTGGGGGAACTGGAGCACTCGGAGGAAACCCACGCGAACGCGGGGAGAACACATACATCAACATATTGAAAAAAAGTTTTAGCAACTTATGGTTCACATGAAATTTAACGTTTCAACTAATGTCCAAAAAAAAAACTAAAAATCTGACATCCTTAATGGGCTTGTTGTGAAATCAACCTGAATTTACTGTACAGCATGTATGTATGTGTGATCTGGATGTTTGAAATACTGTTCCTGATTGGTCAGTTGCAGCTCAAAAATGTTTATATAACGACGACTAAAGTATATAAAATATGTATCCATTTATTTGCTAAGAAGACATTAAATAAATAACAGTCTATAGGTGCGTCCCAAATCGCATACTTATGCACTACTCTACACCTTTGTGTAATATAAATAGTGTAAGTAGTGCATTCACACTGAAAAAGTGCACTTTAAATACCCAGATGATGCACTTATTCAACTGTTAAATTAAGTGTGGATTGTTGGACACTTCATGCACTCCACAGCTTTGCTAACATAGCGGAAGGGGCGGAGCTATCTGGCGCATATGTTGGATTAGTTTGTTTATTTTGGATTGTGAAAGCAAAGTTCTCCTATGAGAGTGATAATAGTGCCTCCTGATGGTGAATGCAATTATACTCATCACAGGTATTATTTGGTAGTTTGGTCATTTATTTCACTAATTTGGCACCCATCAACTGTCCGCTTAGTATAAAAAAACATTAGTGTTCAATTTAAGACGACACTACATACATATATTATGCTTTTGAGTATGTAAGTGCATAAGTACATAGTGCATAGTGTATAGTGTGCCATTTCTGACGCAACTATTCAGTCAGTCATTGCAAAATTAATGATGCACTTACATTGAGATTTGTGGTCACTCTTTGACAGTTTATTAAGATACTGATCAGCTAATTGTATTGTATCCTTTGTTTGTTTAATCGCTAAATGCAGTTAAGACTTTTTTCATTAACTTCTCTCACTGCTGCCAAAGGTGTGTGAAACTGAGAGAATATTTGATATTGTATTTGGCACTCCTTTCTGTAAAAGCTCTCCTTTTTTACACAAAAATAATATTACAACATTTCCCAGAGATAGGTTGCGGCTGGAAGGGCATCCGCTTCGTAAAAACATGTGCTGGATAAGTTGGCGGTTCATTCCGCTGTGGCGACCCCGGATTAATAAAGGGACTAAGCCAAAAAGAAAATGAATGAATGAATGAATGAATATTACAACAAAAATGTTATTCATTTAATAAATGATTATGAGTGTTATTTTATATCTAATTTCACTGTTCAAATGGCAGCTTTTTACATTAAATTTAAACAAAAAATATTTTCTGGTGATTCGTTCATTCATTCATTCATTCATTCATTCATTCATTCTTTTTGGCTTTGCCCCTAATTAATCAGGGGTCGCCACAATGGGATGAACCGCCAATTTATCCAGCATATGTTTTACACATCGGACGACCTTCTAGCTGCAGCCAATCACTGGAAAACATCCATACACACTCATTCACACACATACACTACGGACAATTTAGCTTACCCAATTCACCTATAGCGCATGTCTTTGAACTTGTGGGGAAAACCAGAGAACCCGGAGGAAACCCACGCAAATACGGAGATAACATGCAAACTCCACACAGAAACACCAACTGAGCCAGCAAGCTCAGTGAGGTTTTCAGCATTATTAATGTAGGTTTCAGTGTCGCATGATCCTTCAGAAATCTTCCTAATATGACAATTAAAAATATATATATTTAAGATTCAAATTTTGTTTGATGAACAGAATATTAAAGCCATAATTTTATTAAACAGTATTTTTTGTAAAACTCCAAATGCCTTTACTACAACTTAAGACAATCTAATAATTTTTGCTGAATAAATTTAGTATAAATATTTAGTTTCAATTTAGATTCAATATATTGTTATTAATATTTCTTACTTTTTAGTTTCAGTTTTAGAAAATGGGTTTATTTTTTATGTAATAATCATATTAAATACAGTTGAAGTCAGAATTAGCCCCCCTTTGAATTTTTTTTTCTTTTTTAAATATTTTCCTAATTATGTTTAACAGAGCAAGGAATTTTTTACAGTATGTCTGATAATATTTTTTTTCTTCTGGAGAAAGTCTTATTTGTTTTATTTCGGCTAGAATAAAAGCAGTTTTTAAATTTTTAAAACCCATTTTATTTTATTAATGGGTTAGCCCCTTTAAACCTTTTTTTTCGATAGTCTACAGAACAAACCATCATTATATAATGACAATTACCCTAACCTGCCTAGTTAACCTAATTAACCTAGTTAAGCCTTTAAATGTCACTTTAAGCTGTATAGAAGTGTCTTGAAAAATATCTAGTCAAATATTGTTTACTGTCATCATGGCAAAGATAAAATAAATCGGTTATTAGAAAATAGTTATTAATAAACAGGGGGGCAAAACAAAAAAACAAAACGTCATATGAAATGTTTTTGGGGTAAATACATTTATACAAATTTAGTTTACATTTAGATTAGATATATTAATAATTATTACATTTTTAGTTTTAAAAAATTGGTTACATTTTGAAAAATATATTAACAGTATTAAGTATATCTCATAAATATATAAACTCCCACTAATATCCAACAAATGAGTCCTATGATCTCGCTCTGCTGATCAAAGGCAGCAGACAGAGAGGCCTGTGTAATTTAGGAACACAGCATCTCCACATACACCCAACCCGAGCCCTTTTGATTTATCAAGCAAGAACTGGAAACTCTTGCTAACAGATGGCCAGCGTCTTCCTTTAAAGCTGATCTTTTCATCAGTGTGAAAGACAGTACTGATCTCCTAGGTATTGATGCCAGTGATTAGTGATTCTCTTTGATCACCTTACTTGATAGCAGACTCGGTCTCTCCCATTGTGACGTGAAAGCTGACAGGACCTCTTGTCCTCTCCTCTCCCACAATCCACTTTTGGTCTTCTCCCCTTCCCCAAACTCCCTCCCCTTCACCCCACATCTATTACAGCTCATCTGCGGTGCACAAAGGGCATGTTTACCCTTGCATTCCCGTGGCGATAAACAGCGATAGCAGCCGATCGATACCAGCCATAAATGTCCATCCGCGTGACGCAGTCGGAGCTGCTGTTATTAATGCAACAGGTTGCAGATTAGATCTTCATCATTAAATAAATCACCCACACCCTTTCTCGTCAGATTGCACCCAGGCCCAACCGCCATTCTCAGCCCGTCCCGGGTGCGTGCATGCCGTCCCATGACGTGCCTCCCTCCCTGCCTAAGAAGGCCTATTATTTTCAGCTATAAATCACGTTGAATGGCACATTGATTTTATCCTGCAGCGCTCAGCGTGGGGAGAGGAGCTGGAGCCACAGTTATTGCATTTAATATTATCAATATAATCTCCCATATCATCTGAGCGGAGACGGCAGGTATCAGGAAAAGAGGGCGGGGTGGATGGAGCTGCCATCATCCTGGCTCCTCGGCAGACTCCTTGGTCTACCGGCACATGCAAACACACACACACATACAGACACACACCTTGTCGCCAACCCAACAACCTCCTTTCATCTGATAACAGCAACTTCCCTTGTCACACCTGGAGGGCAAAGTCACCCAACTTGCTCCATTCATCCTGGCTGGCCTCATTTTTTTGTGTCAATTTTTCTGTGGGTTCTTTCTCCCAAACAGATCATCATGGCAGGGTCAAGTTCTTTTCTTGTTAGGTGCACAGGGTTCAACTGTATCACCATTTATTGCAAGATGGCATAGATGTTTTTCAGGCTAAATCAACTATTTACATCAAATGTCATCTGACTAAGCAAAATGTGTGTTTTGATGAGCCACTTTTGTCTAATTGCAACCACTTTCTTGATTTCCTGAGGGGATGTTCTATGTGTAGTGTATATACTATTATATATGATCACAAAAGATGACAATGGAAATGATATTGAAAGCAGCAGCTTTAGTTCTACACAATAGCTTCAAAATTACATAACTGTGGGTTCATGTTAGAATCAGGAATGACAAACGAATGCAGTGCGTTTTTACATTTTTTCACCTTAAAACCCAAACTTATTGTCGTCTGGCTGGCATGCTTTAACAGCAATACTGTTATTATTTATAGAATATTAATGCTCAGTAAAACTACTGTATATTTGTTCTTCGTATTTTATAGATATTTTATTAGATCTTCAAAGTATCATCAGTACTTCACCTCTTGTCCTAAAGGTGTTGACATCTTTTGAGTTACGCCAATGATGGTAAAGAAGATGCCACAAAAAAAATACTTCACACCAGAAGTGAATAGTATGACATGACTAAACAGAACAACAAAACTCACTATAAACTCAAACAGTATATTAGTTTTTGTAACATCATGCAACTTGTGCACTGAATGTGGATACTGTATGTATTCTTATTCTTATTCTAGTGTTTGTTACTCAAATAAAAGTAACAAAAGAATGATCTGAACTCTGATGTAAATGGGTATTTCATTAATAAAGCTGAGGACAATCATTTATATTGAAATATGGATTCTACATTTGCAAAGTATTTTGAATGATAAACTGATAATCAAGTCAAAATTTGAAATCAACCCCTTCCCCCGACTTTTTTTCTGTTTTCTTTTGTCCTCTTATACATATAATAGTAACATGGTGCTACAAGTTTGTGTTTAAAAGGAAAAAAAGTACACATTTGTCAAAGTTATCATTTGTACTGATGTAAAAAATACATAGTTTTAGGAGGTATTAGGTATGAATTAGGAATATAGAATAAAATCATGCAGAATATGTACTTCTTAAATAAAAAGCAATATATTAATAGAAATGTAATAAGCCATTGGTTAATAATGAGAACTGGCCCTTAAACCAAAGGGGTATTAAAATAGAAGCTTAAACAAGTTTAGAACAACATGAGAGTGAGTGAGTGAGTGAGTGAGTGAGTGAGTGAGTGAGTGAGTGAGTGAGTGAGTGAGTGAGTGAGTGAGTGAGTGAGTGAGTGAGTGAGTGAGTGGGTGAGTGAGTGAGTGAGTGAGTGAGTGAGTGAGTGAGTGAGTGAGTGAGTGAGTGAGTGAATGAGTGAATGAGTGAGTGCATCTGAATTGTTTTCTTTGAAATTATACGTCAAAATGAATTCATTTTATTATTATTTATTTATGCTGTGCTATTTTACATTTGATTATTTAATTTCTGTATGTGAATTCTTACCAAAAGCTATTAAAGTCATCTGGTGAAATTGTATTCATGCAGCCCTGATAACCACCCCAACACAAACGCTGTTGTTTATGGCTGTTCGAAAGCATTTGACCACAAGTGTTTACACCATGGAAAGCAATCCAGTCAAATCCACTGTATTTCACTGAAAGTGGACAAGCTTAAAAGTGTAAGGCCTTGTTTACACCAGTGTTGAATGTTGTGCACTAGTAATCAGACTGACAAAAGTGCATCTTAACACCAAATGTTAACAGTCTTCAAGATGTTTCCCACCAGTTCTCCATTCCACCTTCTGCAAAACTATAAGATGGATCAAGCCAGTGATCAAATCTACTCACTCGACTTAAGATATATAAAAGGTGTTCTGAAACACGAAGCCATCTTTGCTTAAATTTAATCAGCTTCTCTGCTGATATGGACGAGAACCATCAGATCGTAAGGATTGCTTTAGACTCACTCGCTTAGATGGACACCAGAGGTTGCGTTGCCATTAATGATTATTAAAAGCTGGTATTTTCGTTGATATTTATGTTTTACAGGTGGTTATCGGCACTGTGTGTCCTGTGACTGGTTGAGTGTTTTTCTGAAGCAGTTATCAGTTGGTTATCGCCTGTCTCTTTCTCTCCCAGATGGTGGATAAGGGAGCTTGCCTTTATTAGCCACTGCTGGCCTGATAAAGACCTGGTATTGATCGCAGGTTGAAAGAGCAGGTTCGTCAAACACGGCTGATTTACAGAGGCTGATAATAGCAGCACCGGGCAACAGTGGAGCCCCGAGGGGTGGAGGCGAGAGATTGATAGAGGGGAAAAAAAGGAGCTAAAGAAACTGGTTAATGTAGACCCTCTTTTCAGCGGAAAATAGTACGATGACAAATATCATCACCAATGCGAACTTGCGATGCAACATACTCGCATGTTCAAACGGATATGCAGACGCAAACAAAACAGGACAATCTCTAAACTAGTCACGATTAGCACCTGACAGAATTTCCATGCGTTTATCAAAAGCAGCCAACGAACCGTCTCTTATCTCCTCAGTCCCCAATTTCACAAGAACAGGAATTTTACAGATTAAATAAAAAAGAGAGAGGAAAAACAGAAATCGTAACTATGAATGTGACTTAAATATCTTACGGCTGGAAAAAAAAGTCCACCATTTATATCCATGAGCTCAAAAGCTAAGTTATTTGACTTTATCTGGCAATGAAATATATCTATATGTCAATAAAAGATAATGCATAAAACTTCCAAGTACTAAACAGATTATTAATACAATCTATTCTTAAGTCACCATAGGCTCTCTTCAGAGGAATCATGATTTATCTAAGCTTTTCATCTCATCTGGTGAATTATTCATTATTTATACTTCTGTCATACCCAACCGATGTGCTTTTTAAATGAATATTATAATAAAACTTCACACAATTTTTAAAACAATCATAGTTCATAGTGAACATCACCTAAAGCTGTATTTACATTATTTTAGAGTACAACTTTTAAGCTACGTTATGTTTGAGTTACTGTAAGTTTAAGTCTGGCAGATGGTATAATGGCCCTTTAGCAAAACATGCTAAGTACAGGAGGACATTTATTCCCATTGTTTTTTTAAATAGGATTTTTTAAATAGGATTTTTTAAATAATTGTGTATTTGTGTTTGTATTTTGCTGTTGTGTTTAAGTCTATGTTTAAAGACAACTTTCTAACCCCTGAGGGAAAGTTGGTTTAATTGAATTGATTTGAATTAAATTGAATTTTCACTATTAACAAACCATTACCCATTGACTTTTTCCACACTAAACTCCTAATTTGCTGCTTATTAACAGCTATTAAGATAGTAGTTAGGTTTAGGTATTGGGTAGGATTAGGAATGTAGAATAAAATCATGCAGAAAATGTACTTCATAAATAAAAACCAATATATTAATAGTTATGTGATAAGCCATTAGTTAATCAAAAATGGCCCTTACACCCAAGTGGTATTAAAATATAAGCTTAAACAAGCTTAGAACAACATAAGAGTGAGTGAGTACATCTGAAATGTTTTCTTTAAAATTATACGTCAAAATGAACCCATTTTATTATTATTTATTTATTATTATTAATTTTCAGTCACTATTATCAATAGACATCAGTGCCAAATCCGTTTCATCACAAAACAATGATGGTTAATCAGACCCTAAAAGGTCTGTATTCAACATTTAGGCAGCTTCTGATGCTTTTCACATGACAGCGGTTTAAGAAAGCATCATTTCACCTTCATTATAAAGCGGTGTAAACGAATGTGGACTTGAACCGTCACATTCGGCAGAGTCTTCCTGATCTGAAGCTCCGCCCTCTTCTCCCGACATGCTGACATCATCAGATGGATCCTCACCTCCATTAAGATCCCCAATAGAGCCTGCAGGAAAAAAAAAACAGAGAAAGAGGGGTCATAAAAAGAGGAGCAATATAAAACAAAAGACATCCGACGTTGAAAAGCCTTTTAAAAGATCCCATATCACAGCAAAGCCTCGATTGAGAGGCTTTAGATAATGTGAATATACCCTGCTAATGTCTTAAAGGAAGTAGGGCTTTCTGTAAATAAAAAAGTGATAAAGTACATGATTAAGGAAGAAATTCTGATTCATTTCAAACCTACAAGCCTTTTACAGCTTTAATTGGCTGGAAATCCCAGAGCTTCAGACCACAAGGACGTAAATGAACTCGGTGTGCGTGTTGTATCACTGACCAAGGTGATTAAGTAATTTGCACAACTCAATACACTCCCAGCTGGCAGCGGTTGAACAAAAACCTTACATTTTCTAACCGTAATGAGATAACCAACCATTTGCTGCATTTAAAAATGCTTATTTAATTAGTTGATCTTTCCAGATTGGGATGGTATTTACATTTATTAACAGAAATTCGATTTTGTATGAATTAATTAATATAAGACCTGCAAAAAAAGGCCTCTCTAAGAATATTAAAATGCAATATGTGCCAGCGGAGCGCTGCTGTAGTGGACACCACAACGGTTTGCATGTTAATTTAACCCCGTATTGTTATTCTAATGAGGTTTAAGATTAGCAATAAGACAGCGTGTTGAGGAGAATCTCACAAACTCACCAAAGCACATTTTCACTCGACCAGGACACCCACATTATTTTGTGCATCTGCATCTAAAGCAAAATTACCAGGGGTTGGAAAATCGGATTTTACCACAGTATTTTTTTATTATAAATTAATTTTCATTAAGTTGTGATGAACAGAGAGGGGATTGTTCGGAGCTAAAGCCGTGACTGGAGGCGTATATATTTACACTTCCTAGAACAAAGAGGCCTATAATCTATACAAAGCACACAACAATACCCGTGAATAAAGAGCCTTGTAGAAAAAGGCAAAGGCAATTTTTCTAATTCTGTTAATTTCACTTCCAAAGCAATTAAAACGAGGCGGAGATAATGCTCGGAAACAATCGCTCCCTGACAAAGTGTTTCTGTCTTTGTAAATGAAACATCTTTAGGCTAATTTCGACTTCCACGCCTGCATGGTTCACTGTAATTTCAGATAAAATTAACACACTTAGATTTGGACCTTAGCAATAAAGGACGTGAGAGAGAGAAAAGTAAAAAAAGATTGATCCCATATGCCATATTTTTAGAATGTAGTCCGGGCCTTGCTAGATCTAATTTTCTATATCTGTGGCGACATTTTCATACAATTAATTTCCCTTTAATCATAATTGTACAAAGGGGCCCCTCTGTTTAAAATTCCAATTACATTTCGTGTTTAAATGTAAGTCTGAATTATGATTTTCTTTCCTATTACTGCTCGGGTTAAATGAATAAATCGCCGCATCACTGCTTGCTGACATCAAATGGCGCGGAAAAAGTTTCTGCTCTCCCTCTTAATCTTACACAAGGAATAATGTGCATCTTTCACAGAACTGAACACAGAAAAAGGGTTCTCGACAATTTAAAATGACTTTATTTGACATAGAAATCAGAAAAAAAGGTGTAAATAATAAGGTTTTTATTTACGCTGCTCAAAATTGAACATTAAAAAAAATAATGTGATTTTAAATGTCAAAACATGAGTGAAATAATCTTGCGCTAGAACATATACTTGTATGTAAACATTCTGACCTGTACATATAAATTTAGTGTATTTATAAATAATAAGCAAGCATACAACATTATATTATATCTCAATATAATAGTGGTTTTAAAAATATAGACACAGTAAAACGACTTTTAAACTTTATCCTCTGGTATGTTAACTATTCTTACACTGAATAACATCTTCTATAATTGACATCCAAAGAAAATCTGTATCAAAACAGTATTGTTATCTTCGTCACTTATAAAATAATAGTAATAATTCAAAATTTAAACCCAAATTATTATAAAAATTCTCATTTTCAGCTTCTTATCCTTGTTAAAACTAATATAAAAAAACTCTTATTTCGTCTATTATGCAAAGCAAAAGAAAGAAGACAAACTCAAAGACACACTTTTGAGTCGAAACTGCCACTCGAAGAGGCAGAACAAAGTGAGAAAGCTGATGAAGGCGGTGGAGATAGTGCTTTATTAAGCAGCCCCGTCCACATCAAACCAGTGTGCTTAACGCCGGTGATTAAACCGAGAGACAACACATCAAACCTGAGCTCTGATTAAACGAACAAACTTCCTCACCCTCACGTTAATCACCACATTACCAAACAGCCCAAACACAGCAGAAAAAAAGCAACACCGCTTGTATCTGGAGATCAGGGACTTGTAAAGAAAGATACTTCGAGGAGAACAGTGAAAGAGGCCTGTGTGAGAATGTGTGTGTGTCTGTTTAAAACGAAGTACCTGACTTGTAATTTCAAGCACAAGTGGCTTCACACATTGATCAGAGCCAAGGGCATTAAAACACTTTCAGCAATATTAATTGGCTGGATCCAAGGGTTAACCTGGATACCAGGCACTTGGGGAAAAAAAGCATACCGCAGGAATCAAAAGGACTTTCATAATTTGCTCAAATGTGTTTTAAACTGATCTAAGGACTAAATATTATCCACCTATTTTCGCACATGACAACCATGTTCCAAATTATCGGTTGCACGTCATGTTTGGGAAACATCCATTCAAATGAACTAAAACAAATCAATGCAAATGCATTACAAATATAACAAATACATAGTAAAATTGTGTGTGAGGTAAGTTTGCCATTGCGCTTTATTTTTATCCATCATAAGAATAACATGCTGTGTTTTATTGTGACAAAACATAAATGTGGTGACCGAAGCTCTTTTAAGTTCAGCCTGATCTCACGAGAAAACATAAGTATTTTACATTTCGTCAGTTTAGTGGCTAATTTAGTCGTACGAAAATGTATGATTTTAAAAAGGAGGCATGGCATCCAACCCCGGCCCTAAGCCCAACTGACATTGGGTGATGAGCAAATCACACTAAATTGTACGAATGAGATTGTACAATTTCATACAAATTAGCCACTAAATCAAAAAGTTACGAGATGCCGTGAGATTGTGTTGACACATCCATATTATTTCTGCAGAAAAACTGGTCTCAAATTTTTGGTGCTATTCACGATCTGCTGAAACTAATTTCCTAAGTTCATCAAGCTTTTTCTTTTTTATTATTTGACTGTGAGGAGAACAATAGCCATGTTTCCATCCAAAGATTCAAATTTGATTTATGCGCAAAAACTGGAATATTGTATGAAACATTAGCAAATAAAGAAACAATTCCAATCAAAGAGTTAAAGAGAACAAAACCATTACTTCCTGATAAACTGCCACCATATATTTAAAAGAGAAAATGCAATTTTTGGAGGTAGGAGACTGTGGGTTTTTACATAATAAATTACTTATGTCAGAGGTGTAGTTTGTGGGTGGGTTAGGGGGGGAAGAAACCACCCCCTCAATATTCAACACATGCAATTACAACTCTCCAATAGCTACCTGTAAAAGATTTATATTAAAAACAAATAAATACATCAAGAACACACGCTTTTTAACCCTCCCAATGTTCAAAACAAAACCACACCACAGACATGCGCTTTGGGAGCAAAGCAGTTCATAAAATATTATTTACAATTTAAAGTAAATAAAGTTCTTTTTATTTAATAATTTTTTTCTCAAAGGATTTATTTTTAATTCATACATTTAATTTATTTTTATTTTATACCAAAAAATAAAAATAAAAATAACATTTTTTTAAAGTAAATAAAGTTCTGGGAGGTAAAAAAACTAAACCACTTTGTCGATGGACTTTGGCTGAGGGATGTTAGAACGAACCAAAACCACATTTCAGATGTTGTGCAATGTGGTCGGCCCACTGATTTGTCCCATTGTGCTCATTTTTGTTATCACATGATCAGTTAAAACCAAATCGCATGGCTTTTTTTAAACGCATGCTGGAATATATTTAGCAAATGTTTTTCTATCGTAGTTCATGCTATTTTTTTCGTATTGGATAAACAGTTTATTCTACTCAGTTGTTTGCATAAAAAAACATAAAAAGTTTCTAAATGTGTGCAAATCTTAACATTTCCATTAAGCATTTCTTTTCTTTCTTTTTTTTAAAGGTTTTATCTTTAATTGCGATGTGACAGTGGAGGTTACAGACAGGACAGTACTAGGAGCAGCGAGAGAGGAAGGGTCAACAAAGGACCTCCAACTGGGAATCGAACTCAGGTTGCCATGAGCACCATAGTACTATATGTCGGCACACTTAACCACTAGGCTATTTGTGCCAACTCTATTAAGCCATTAATAGGTGGATGGAAACCGAGATAATTACACCCCATCACCCAGTTTTTCATTGATGGTTTGCAGTTTAAAGGAAGTGACTTCTATTATTTACGCAAGACATCATGATGGGGCGTCGGAATAAAGTGGACATACAGCCAGGTAAAAGTACTATTGATCTGAAAGCGAGCTGAAAATGTGCTGAAATGATTGATGAGGCAGTGGAGAGTGCTGGACGAGGCTGGTGTCAGCAGCGTTGCATGGAGCCACAGATAAGCGCTGAGCCTCAGGGCTTGAGCACCACTGGCAGAAGCTCTGCGGACACACACTGCTGTACAGGAGTGGACTTTCACTAGCTCTGCCAACACTCACGCTGTCTCCGTTTCTGCCAACACAGCATGCAGTGTGTAATGAGCTAGTGAACAGTACTCCTGTGTTCACCCAGGAGAACGAAGTAACTTTAGCAACAAAGACAATTTCAATACTTTTTTTGTGAAGGACAAAATAACAAAACTTTTCAGAATAGCAACTTTATTTCTTGCAATAGGGTATACCCACATGGACTTTTAGGGTGATTTTTTTAGTCGATTCAATTGTCTGGACCGTACCCAAGTTCGATTGTCCCCCCCTGCCTGCCATCTTCTCGTTTGGTTTCTGTTCAC